CTAGGGTAGCGCAGCACAACCCCGCCTTCAAAAAAAAAAAAAAAAAAATCCTTGCTGTGTTTTTGCATCGCCCGGTTTCGCCAGGCGGAACCCCCCGGGCCCAACCAGCCGGCCACGCCCGGCCGTGCGGCGGCCCAGCCTAGAAAAAAAATCAATTCTGTCTAGTCTGTATTCCAGCTGAAGACCCAGGTACACGAGGAACCAGCTCCGTTCTGGGCCTGGAAGAGCATCCAATACACACGCACGGCAGACGGCAGCCGATGGTTCACGTGGAACAGATGGTAAAGGAGTGTTTTTGTTTAAGGTTTAGGGTTTAGGGTTTAGGGCTTAGGCTGGAGGGTTTGGACGGAAACAAGACGGGCAGGGGTGAGAATGTTAGATGTCTCACGAGGCTCATATGCGGGATTTAGGGTGTACATAGAGTTTGGAAGCAGTGGCAGCTGCTTAGACCTCTCTTGCTATTTATGTTTTATCTGACAGGCTCTTATAGCAGTCCTGAGAGGAAAGGTGGAAGCAGGGCAAGCTGACAGTCAATCCTCCACGATGTTGGAGTAATCAATGCTGATCAGGGTTTCTTCAGCCAGACGGAAGGAAGTGTGAGGGTGTTATATGATGTAAATATTTTTCCTGACTTGCCGGTGGAATAGGAACCGGACTGGTGCTCCCCAGAATGGAAATGGAGCCAGGGCCATAAGGACCTGTTTTTATTAATAAATAAATAAATAAATAAATAAAATTGCGACCTAAATGCTGGAAACGGCGAATTGTCTTTTTTGAAGTTTTTTGAAGTTTTTTTTTAAGTTCTTGTTCTTTTAAGTTGAGGAATTGTCTTAATCCCAAAAGGTGAATAAGAACAACCCTGGCACCCAGAATCACATTTTGGAGATGCTTCTAGGCTCCTTTTACTTGAGTGTGGATGTCTGTGTTGTCTCCGTCACACCCTTTGTAGCTAACAACCACGCGTTCTTGTGGGATGCAGCAATTACGCCCAGGGCTGGGGAAGGGGATGTTGACATTTACATGGGCAGCGACAAGGGCTGTCTGTATTTCTGCTGTGCTTCCAATTCTCCTGTTCCTTGTTTGCTACCCATTCTATGTTCCTGGTGTTGGAGAGGTTGGTGGCCTAGGGGTGGATGGGAATGCGATCATCCCGAGCATCATCGCCGCATCACTGTCTGCTTTGGCCGTGGTGCTCGCTTGGATTGGTAGCATTCTTGCGGCATCGTTTGCTGCTCTATTAAGCTATCCTTTTCTGGCTTCCTCGCTGTCATCCTCAGTGGACCCGTCGATGGGAATATGGTTGCACATAGCTCCAGCTTTAGGAGGGGCCCTTCTGGGGCATAAGTCGGGGTGGAACGTCCTCGTCGAATTCCTGTTGCCAATTCGATCGAAAGGCATTGGGGCAAGGTGGATCGGTAGAGTTGGTGTGGAGGCAGAGGTACAGCAATGGCTCCAGAGGGCAGCCATTTTCCAATGGCTTGGATTATCGTTGATTGCACTATACCGGGGCCTCGGCAGTGTCTATCTGGCATTCGCATTGGCTGTTTTCCCCCTCATCGCATGTGAGTGCTCACTTCTTCCCTTTCCCCATTCCTTCTCCTTGGTTGGGAAATTTCCTGTTGTTGAAAGAGTGTGATCATGCCTGATGCTTCACAGATGAAGAGGAAGTGTCAAAGCCACTGAAATTGTACCTGCCTGTCGAGTATGGTCAGGTTCATAGCCTGCACTTGGCTATCTGTTTACTGTGAATCCGTTTCATCTTTCAAGTGGCCTAATTTGGTAAATATTAAGAGACATTCCCCAACTGGTCGTTAGTAAGGACCAAGTGAAAACCGTCAATTGACTGCTTGTCTGTCTGTTTGCCTGCCTACCTACCTGCCTACCTGCCTACCTACCTGCCTACCTACCTGCCTGCCTACCTGCCTACCTACCTGCCTACCTGCCTGCCTACCTGCCTGCCTGCCTTACCATGTGCTTACTCTGTTTTTTTGGCGATCATTCTGTCAAGCCAGCTTTTGTGACTGCATGCTTATTGAAGGACTGGCTCTCTTTATTTTTTCAGTAAGGGGGTAGTAACACCAAAGGTTTTTGTACCCTTTTGATTCAGTAAGGATTCAAACTCGTGGCCTGTTTACGTGCGTACCCTGCAGCCACATGGGTTGGGTGAAGAACTGGCTCTCTGAATGTCTGACTGTCTGTATGTCTGCCGGCTGTTTTTTTTTTCCCTTTGTTTGTGCCTGTGACTCTCTCTGCACAGGTGGGTGGCTATCATCATGCCCATACCAGGAATGTACCTTCTTTTGAAAATTTATTTTTAGGGGCAAGTATGTTTCAGTCACAATCGAGTTCCGAATGAGCAAAAAAAAACACGTAGCGGCAGGTCAGTCACCTCCCGAGTTGGGAAAGGCGATAAAAACACAGTGCACCTTTTGACACAGACGGGTCAGGTCCTTTACAGGCGGGGACCTGTGGTGTGCAGACCGCCATTTTCTGTTTTTTTTTTCGCCAACTCGGAACCCATGCCGTGACAGACCTGCTGACGTGACTTTTTTTTCATCTTTTGAAACTCAAAACTTGATGCACTTGTTTCTAATTTTTACTTTCGATATGGTAAAGTCAGATAAAAGTCTTCACAGGGGGGCCTAGTACTGCTGCTCCAGTGAGGATATACTGCTATTAGGAAGACTAATTTGTTAAAGATTCTCAAGGAAGTTTGATATGTTCCTGTTTTCTTGTGTGTAAGCATTTTTTTGCAAATCTGATAACTTGATGACTTTTTCACAAAATTCTGTCATTGTTTATTGTAATTTTAACTAATTTTGGTAAAAGACAAACCAGCAACTGGCAGGGGCAGACTCATTCCCCTTTAATTTTTTTTGCAGGAGTTTGCCCCTGTTAAAAATGTTAAAAAAAAAAAAAGGGAAAACATCTCCTGAGTCCTTACAGACCTGGCTCCATATCCATTCTGGGCAAAGTCCAGTTCCTATTCCACCGGCAAGTCAAACGAAGTACATTACTCCAGACTCCAGAGTCCATACATACCCTAAACGTCTCCCTACGTCACGGCGGCCCTGTGATCCACGATGGCATTGATTACTTCCTTGGGAAGGAGTAACCATCATTTTTGCCCATACTCTGAGTCAAACCCCTCCCCTCTGTCCAATGATCTCCAATCTATCCCCTGGAACAAAACAGCCTTAAATTGCCAGTATGCGGCCCCAGCTTTGCAAGATTTTTTTTTTTTTTTTTTTTTTTTTTTTTTAACAAAACAAGTCCTTATGGGCCTGACTCCTTTTCCTTTCTGGGGAGCGTCAGTCCGGTTCCTATTCCCCCGGCAAGTCAAGATTGAATACAATGTGACAAAACACACTCACGCTTCCTTCCATATGGCTGAAGGACCCCTGACCAGCACTGATTGCCCCCTTGAGGCAGGATTGACTGTCAGCTTGCCCTAACAACTTGCTCCTCTCAGGTTCCCTTCTTGGGCCTGTCAAATAGACCTATTCAAACAAGAGAAGTAGTAGGATCTGCCTCCAGCCACAAATCTGAGTCTCCTTCCTCTCCAAGGTACACGCCTGATACCCTTGTTGCTCAGCATAAGACACTGTAGTCTGCGGTGAAACTACTCCATTGGTCGTGACTCGTGAGGTATCTTGGTCTTCTCCTATCTCCTTACGAGTTGTGCCAGTCCTTCCACCGTACATAGTAGTTCTTTATCTCTGCAACTTTTCCTTCAATCAGCCAGGTCTTGGTAAACTTTAACTGAGCTCTGCACTGTTCCTCGTCCTCGTCTGGTACGGAAAGTCGTCTTGTGCCACTTGCATAGAATCTCTGCCTGAATCAAAGTCTTTGTTTCCGCCCACACCTTTTCCCTTGAGTTTGACGCACCCTCAATGGTCCTGCCACATCTTTCGTTCCAGATAGTCCATAATGTCGCCTTCCTGATCATTCTGAACCGGATCTTCTCTGTCTTGTTCAGCTGGGTAGGGATGTTAGTCCATAGGAGAAGTTGGAAGGGATGTTCAGGGAGGGGAGACGAGAATAGAGTCCCAGAGGGCCGATGCCCTGGCCCAGTACTCTGTTGCTTCGCTGCAGCGTATTAGACAGTGGAGCATGTCTTCTGGTTCGTTATCCGCGCATACTGTACATACTTCTGACCTGTTGGGATCGTTCTTATGTCTCCGCATGTGCAGCCATTGATTAACGGGTAGGGCCACGTAGGCAATTAGCCGTTGAAGGCGCCTAATTTTAACTGGACTGATTGATTTAAATTTTTCCCATGGGATATGTGGGATCTGGCTGGCGTCCTGACCCATTAGTTTGGACCATCTATTCTTGATTATGGGGTCCGGGTGCTTGGTTTTAAGGAATAGCCTATAGCCCAGTTTGACTGAGTAGTCCTGCATGTGGATATCTGTCTTGACAGTTGTGTTCCTTCCTGGTGTCCAGGCCCATTCTGCCGGGTCGAATTCCAGGTCCTGGATTGCTGTGTCCATCTTGAAAACTGTTTTGGGCCATGAACCGATGACGCTTACTTTCCTGAAGAGGAACAGATCGAGAACCACTCTTTCTACATCCTTGTTCAGAATAGACACGGTGTTGTGCGCTGCCCGAGTGACTGGAAAGGCTGTGAAGACAGCCAAGGTTTGCGAGCCCTGCTGTTTGTGGGAGAATTGGTAGGCTGTCGATGGGGACGGTTCTTGTATCCGGACTCCCCATTCCCCTGTTTTCCAAGCCAGTGCCTCTCTTAATATTTCTTTCCCTCCCTCCGGGATGCATCTGATGACTTTTTGCAGGTTCTCATCACGCCGGTGGCACCCCTTGAGACGGGTAGCGAGTTCCTGATCAGTGAGCCACCCGTTCTTCTCTTCGTCCCATATGTGAGAGACTTTCCAGATCCCATGTTTTATCCATGATACCCAACGTGTGCCATTGGGTTTAAGAAAAAGTGGGTGATCACTTTCGTCTCTCACCCACGGATTGCCGACTAGAGGTTGCCTCAGTACTTCTTCTCTGGTCATTGGTTTCCCGACTTTCTTCGGCATGATTTCCCATCAAATCGTTAGAAGTGCAGTCCAGTAGGGTGTGGGGGGCTTGGTTCCGGTGGGGGTGCCCCCTCTTTGTTGGTTCCTGCGGCCTGTTTTGGGGATCCATTCTTTGTTCATCACCCAAAATAGGTCAGACATGTTTGCTGGTGTCGTTACCGGAGCCAGCCCTCTTATAATGTCTAGCGCCAGATTGTTCCATGCTGTTCCCGGTTTGGTGAGGAGTTTGACGATCCACTTTATTTGTAGAGCTTTTGTTTCTTGTTCGGGATCTATAATACCAAGACCGCCTTCAGCGGGTTTCCTTGTAGTGTCATGCTATTTTCGGTTATATAATTTTCTTTGTTGGGGTCTCCTGACCACAGGTAAGCTCTAGCTTTGCGGTTAAGGTCCTTTATTGAGTAATCTGCAATGAACCCAGATCGTGAAGTCAGTCGTCAACAATGCAAGCCCAGGTAAATGTCCATCGGCTGATGATTACAAATAGTCAAGATCGTAACCAGACAGAATGAGATGAGGTAATCATACACGGACGAAGAGAGAGGAGGGAGATGAGACAAGGGAGAGGAAATTACAATGCCCACTCCTGCTTCGGGCTCCCTCCTCTACTACCACCTCAATAATCAATAGTCTGAACGAGTATCCGAAGTACCCTCAATGTGCCACGTGGCACGTCTAATCAGTCCCACATCAGCACTGGAGCAATGTCGACATGAAGATAGCCAGGTACGTATCCACGAACTCTCCACAGTCCTGATCTCCTCCTGMAGTGACGATGAAACAGAACAGCAATGCCGATCACGTAGTCCCAGCCATAGAACACATGGCAGCAGCCACGTCAGCCAATGATACACGTGGCAGCAGCCACATCAGCGACAACGCATGGGAGCTGCCACGTCAACATGCCAAGAAGACAGGAGCAAGCCAGCCACCATGCCGGACCAGCAGCGCCTCGCCAAATCACAATGCCAGCGTCGCAGCGTCGAGCCAGCGTTGAAGTCAACGCGTAAAGTCAGCATCAACGCAAGACAGAATGAATGTCAAAGCCAGGAAGTCAGCGCTTATGTAGCGTTGACGCCGGGTCTGGACCTGGATGCTGCATCCCTCAATCGTCCAGATCTCAATGCAAACGAGGGCCCAGATTGTTCTTGAAACCGAATTCCCTCCGGCCTGGATGCTGTCTGGGTACCTGCGCACAACAAGTGAGTGCATCCAACCAAGGGCCTGGGTGTGGTACCTTTGACTCTACAGTTGACTTTGACCCTTGAATTTCCTGTGTGCAGTGTTCGGTCACACAGCCATGTGCGACAGACTATAGCCTGGGCATGTCTTGGCCACACAGCCCAGCGCAGACCAACTCAGGTCTGCGTTGCCTGGGGCTGAGTTCTGAGCCCCAGACTCATTCTGAACAGGGTTATTACAAATCAGGGATTGTCCATATATATGTTATATACCACATCATTGAGAAGATGGAAGTGTTGATGGCTAAAGCGCGACCCAGCAGGGAGGTAAATGTA